AGATCCATTTGAAAGAAAGGGACCACTGCAGAATCTAATTCATTGGCAATAGCCTCTCCTCTGTTTAGCCTCCACAGTAATTGTTACGTCTTCCCTTTTGGTAAGTTTTATCTAGGTTTTTTTGTGTCTTCTGCCGCTTGTTTGGGATGAAATCTATGAATACATAACCAGCCCGCGGACGTGTCATCATCACAACATGTGTTTTGTATATTTATATGCAGGATATATTTTTTCTCATCTCCTAAATGTCCTAGAAGTGCCTCCTCCACCCCACCTCCCCCTCTTCAAAGGCTGTTCAGCCTGGAGGAGGCTCAGAGGAGACCTCATCACTCTCTACAACTCCCTGACAGGAGGTTGTAGCCAGGTGGAGGTCAATCTCTTCTCCCAGGAACCAGCAGTGGGACAAGAGGGCTTGGTCCTAAGCTGTGCCAGGGGAGGTTTAGGTTGGATATCAGGAAGAAATTCTTTACAGAGAGAGTGCTCAGCCATTGGAATGGGCTGCCCAGGGAGGGGTTGAAGTCGCTGTTCCTGGAGGTTTTTAAGAAGAGAGTGGATATGGCATCAGTGCCATGGGCTGGAAACCACAGCAGGGTTGGATCAAGGGTTGGACTTGATGATCTCAGAGGTCTTTTCCAACCCCGTTGATTCTACGATTCTTTCAGGTGCTTTTGGAACACACTAGATCTCTTAACCATCCCAAAGACCCACAGGCATATTGAATCTGGAAATATACTTGGTAACTACTCTAAATCTACTTGGCCTGCAAGCCTTGAGCTGGACATAATCCTAATGATTCAGTTTCTCTGGCTCTAGACAGAATTCCTCAGGGGGCATGTGCCTTATTCATCTTCGGTTCTTGACACAGCTTTCACCTTAGCAATGCTTGGTATCTCACTCCCAGCACGCTATTTGGAATTGTCACAACTTGGTAGAGTGCTGAATCCTTTTTTTTTTTTTTTTTTTTTGGGGGGGGGGGGCTTTTTTTGTTTGTTTGGGGTGGTTTTTGTCCACTTTTTTTACAGAAAATCTCCTGAAAACCATAGCAAAGGTTATTAAGAGATTGATACTTATTTCTCATATACTCCTGAAACTTTGATTTCTCCTGAAACTTAGCACTGTAAGATGGTCTATACCTTACAGAATTATTGAATGAGTGTTATGCTTATGACTCTTTGCCTGATGTTTCTGAGGTGTTATGTTTTATGGAGGCTTTGACACTTTCAGGACAAGTGTCAAAATCTGATTATAATTCCTTTTGACAGTATTTCTATTCAAATACATAGGTCATCGCAAACAGTATTTTTGACCTTGTAGTTTTTTTGACATCTGAGAATCCACGATAGCACACAGCAGTCTGTCAAAAGCAGCATTGTATCTCTAACATGATCTTATAGGACAAAAATTACTCTGTACAAACAACTTCATTTCCAAAACAAACAGAAAACATACGACAAAAGAAATAGTCATAATTAAAGATATTAGCCAAACTTCTGTCAGAGGCATCTTTATCATAGCAAGGAGATTTTAATAAACCAATTAGTAAAAATGTGTTACAGTTACATTTAGAACACTGCAGGCTTAATCCAGTTGCCCACACATGGGCACATAGTGCCGTTAGGATGCTGCTGGTGCCTACCCAGCTGCCATCCCAGAAGGGCTCTTATAGGTTCTCTATCACATCTGACAGCCCCCTGCACCAACATCATAAAAAATTTAAAAAATTAAAGAAAAAATAAAAATCAGCATGTGCACTATTCAATAATTGTAGAGTGAAAAACTTTACTCTTAGATCTTTTATCAACTTACTTTGCTTCCATAACCAGATTTCATAAATTATATACTAGTCAGTAGTTTAGCTAAAAAATTCCATCCAACATCCTCATAATCTGTAATAGAAACAAGCATAAAATAATCATGCAGGAAGCAGCGAAATAGAGATTTTCCCCATCTAAATGCAATCTCTAGAAATTCAGGTCCTTTCTCAGGCTAATAATAGAACTGCTTAGATTCAACAGCAAAAGACAATTGCATGTCACAGAGTGGCACAATACAAAATTAGAAAGTTTTAGTGTCTGTGAGAAAAAATGACGTAATTAGCATTCATAACATAACCTATAATGTACTGTATTTCCATTACTTAAGAGTAGTATTTGTTTCATCTCTTCAGAGCAACTCTGGATATGAAGATCTAATTACTGGACACAGTTTTATTACAGCATCTGAGATCAACAGAACTGCTGCTGCCTCTCCTGAACTCACAGGACTTGTGGGTACAGACTGTGAGGACACATTCATGTTTAATTATTGTGAAAATGTCACATAAAGAAATGAGAAAGGCAGTAAATCACTGTACAGAGATTTAAAGTGGAAGCTGGTAAGGTTTTAATAACACTCTGCTTGTGAATTACGCTTCCAATAACGCATAAATGTATTACGAAGCTTTAGCTGGTATAAAACAGTTTCTTATGGTTTAATGTGTTTCAAAAGAGAATGGCTGTACTTTGTGGTAACAGAAACACCAATTATGAATCAAACTCTTAGTTTAATTCACTTAATGATAGTTGCAGTTAAGGCAAATGCCAAGCTTAAATTCTTTCTCTTCAGTTTGTGGCAGCCCCGTGTAAAAAGCTGCTCAGTCTTCAGATTCTTCTTCATTTTACTGACTCAGTCTTCAGATTCTTCTTCATTTTACTAAGTACTGAAGAGAGGAGGAGTTCTGTTCTTGCAGTACAAATACCATAATAAAAAGTTCTTTAAAAAAAAAAAAAATCCCATGTTGTTGTACTGGTTTCTAGCTACAGATTGTCCCTCTGTAAGAAAAAACAACACATCACGGAAAATTTGGAAGAAGGGATATTTATTGTATTACAAGATTTTTACCCCATGTATATATGGAAGTATTATTCTGTTAAAAAAGGCCTCATCACAACCCTAACTGAAGGGGAGCCGTGACAGAGCCTGGCAGCTCAGATTTGTCCTGACTGCTTCTTTTCTGATTTAAATAGCAGCCTTCAGACCTAGCCCCCATCCCTACAACTGCTTTAGCTGCAAGTGAGAACATCCAAAATTTACACAGACGGACCCCTTTTGGCCTCAGAACAGCTGCCAGCCCTTCAAAAGTCACTACTATTCTGTTCCCACAGTTCCATCATTGAGAAGGCAACCACAGTATTCATGTATATTTAATACCAACATGAAATATTGATTAGCCTTTCCAGCTTTAACTTCTGTTTAGCATTTTATCTCAAACCTCAACTTGGCACCAAAAAAAACCCACCATACAACTGTAAAGACTTCAGTCCCTAAATCCAGGAAAGCTACAGTCAAGTCAGTTGCTCCTCAGGATCACAATTAAAGGTTTATTTGCATGATTACCACTCTTGCACTCTAAATTATCTCTTTATTACAGTGATACATGATCTTTTTAAGAGATGCTAAAGGATTTGAGCCCGCATTATCTCATCCCTCTTATGCAATCTGTCAATAAATCAATACATTGTGTATGACTGGACATGCCTGGCATATCCTTCCTAGCTGTCTACCTCAAGAATAAAACTCATTAACATTCCGGGCATTTCAGATCTCACACCTCAACCTCCAATGCAACAAAAAGCCCTCACACTGCCATCTCTAAAAATCCCGCTGTGTCCTACCACAGGAGGAAGAGGCTGAACCTGACCACCCCAGCTGGGTACTGGCACTGTCAGCTGGGTGGGGACAGGGCCGCAACAGAGTCAGGCCCTCACCCAGCTCTAGTGGAAGCTGCAGACCAAAGAATCACACCTCAGTGCCCATCTGCACCAGAAGTGGCGCTTTAGGTGTGCCAGCACCCTCCTTACCAGGTGTGTGGGCAGGGGAAAGTTAATCTTCAGTTCCTCCCCAAGGTGGACGAACAGCTTATGTCCAGCTCAAAGGGTTGGAATGTGCTGTTTTAAAAAAAATAATTTAAGAAGTTTAGAGCCTGCAGTGCGAGGGGGAAAGGGCTTGCCTTGCACAGGCTTCAGATACTCTCATCCAGACTTCTTTGAAGAAACAATGTGCTGATACATTAAGAACCCCTATGAATAATAGTCACACTTCTGTCTCCTACTATGACTCCCTCCAAAACTCTACCTTTCAAGCCCAGAAAAAAAAACCAAACCTCACTTAAAATATACACTTTGAAATCTCATCAAAATCTGTTCTCTGTTATATTAACCACTGGCTAGTCAACATCCTTTCCTGGCTTTAAGGAGTGGCCTTCAACTCACTCACACAGCAGAGGTTTTGTTAGAGACATTCCCCTGCAAGAGACTGTGTCAAGTTTTATGTTAAACATTTTAAAATATTCAAGTTACTTAAGCTTTAAGCAAAGTGATAAAACACAAAGACCAAAGCTTCTCCTTAATTGAGACAGTATATTAGTTCTGCTCCTCTCTGCTTTTGCTGAAACAGGTGACATTCCAGCTCACTTCACATGTCCATAGCCATTACTCCCTATTGCACACAATAACTTCCACCTTATTAGTCAGACAGGTTTTATCCAGGAGCAACTCTCATGTGTTTAAACAAGAGGAACTCTCACCAGCACTCATCTTCTCTCATCCCCTTCTTGCTTATGGAGCAACAGAACTTCACAATTCTTGTAGTTCCATAGTTACAGGTATAAGATGTAGGAATTCCTCCTATTTTTAAACAGCTCCAGCTCCTCTCAGAAAGTTAAAAAAATAAAAATCACATCTTATGCAACAGACAAATAAAAATGGTACGTATCAGCATAACAGGCAATGTTTAACTGGCAGTTCTGCTTGTGGAGGAAGTTTTGCAAAGCCTCCTGGTGTCAAGCATCTGGAACACCCCAGCATGCTGTAAATGATAACCCAGCTCCTTGCTTGCAGAAGAATCAAGTATGTATTCCAGATACTTATCACTGCTTTCCCTTGTGTCAGCAGCTCCTGTGAACAGGTCCAATCCATCCAGGCACCTTTCATCTCACAGCAGTGGTGTACTTGAAGAAAAAAGTCCTTTGACGTTACCTGTGTTATCAAATATACTCAACAGCAAGATCGCTGCACCTCAGCAGTCTGTGCTGACACTCCACAGAAACCAGGAGAGCATTATCAGCTGTGTTTCACGTTCTCCTTCTCATCAGCATCTGAATAGGTGCGTGGTGAATCCTTTGGGGAGAAAGAAGAAATTAAAAAAAAAAAGAAATGGAACAGATTTCTATTGTGCCTACCTCCCATTCATTCCTTACTGCAAGAGGAAGACCACAGAATCCCAGTCTATCCTTTGACCCCCAGGGCCAGGTGTTGTTATACAATCCCAAAACTATCATACATATTTTACCACCAAGAGCTGCCCCGCCACGTGCTCTCTCTGCAGTTTCATCTCTCCTGCCACTACAAGTTTTAATTTGAATGATCTTGCTTAGGAAGAAAAAGGAACATCTCAGTGCCAGCATCTCTCGTCTTGGTTGCACAAAGCAGGCTTTGCCAGCATGAGGTTTATCGTTACCTGGGTCAGCAGCTGATGACGCCTCAGATGTCTGTAGAACTGCAGCACAGAAGGATCAGCTCTCACTACTTTTGGGTCAAAATCCAGAACACGGAGACCTGCAAGGCTACGGGCTCGGGAGAGGGCTACATAGGCCTGCCCACTTTCAAAGACACGAGCCAGGGAGATTTCCACACAGTCTAAAGACATGCCCTGCCAAAGACACAGAGAACTCTCTTACAGAACAAACAGGCAAGAACGCTGTGCTCTACCAACACTAACCTGTGAGTCTGTCGAAGGTACCATCCTTGGTGTAAGGATTGTTTGATTTAAAAAAAAAAAAAAAAAGTCTTTTGTTTTACTGTGTAACTGATTAAAAGATGAGAATCAGAAAGGAAAGGCAGTTTTCCACGGTCAGTAAAGTGCTTGCAGATAGTAGGATCTACTAGCTAACTCCAGTGAACCTGGAAACTCCATAAATCCCATCTAATCACCACAGCAGGGAAAGAAATCCTGCTGGTTTCACTCCTAGTAGTTAACAAGAGCAGTCACCATTCTCAAGCAGTCCTCAGGCAGACCAGAGAGAGAGTTTGGGATAGGCCTGGCCAGCCCTGTCTGCAGGGCTATCCTGGGCACAGCAGAACTTACAGCCTGCCCTGGTTTAAACAGTGGCAAGGGAACAAACTCACAGGTCTCTAAGACCAGTATTTATCAAAGTGTATGAAATCTTCTGGAAAGGAAGGAACTTGGAGAAAGTTATACTGTTACATTGAAAAAAAAACCCCAACACACACCACCAAAGAGCAAGTCCAGCCCAAAGAGCACAGCTGTGGCTCTGGCAGCTGCCTCAGTTACACTGCAAACTTCAGGGTCACTAGTGCTGATGACTCTCGAGGGAACACTGCTCTCATCAGCCCACAGTGGTAAATAATGCTGATTTATAGTCCAACTGTGCAGATGGCAGCCCCCCTATGGAAACTCCAGCAGTGTATCTACCCCGTCTGTGGCCTTATAGGCAGACATCCTGAGCAGAAGAGGTGAAGCTAAACACACATATGCTGGAGTTCCCCCCAGCAAGGGCCTTTCAGCTTTCCCTCCTGCTTTACCAGCAATGCAAGGTCACCCAGGAAATAAGGCTTATGATGGTGTATAAGTCTCTAGACTGCTGTATAAGAACACCCACCTGACTCTTGTGAATGGAAATGGCCCATGCCAATTTTAAAGGCAGCTGTTGACGACTCAGGTGAACTCCTGATGGTCCTTTGAAGACCCATTTCTCCATTCTTATGACCTGTGTGACCCCACAGAGAAACCTCACCTTAGGCAGCCCTGTAGGAATGGGAGCAGGAGAGAAACAGGGATGTATTCCTGACACTCAACAACCAGGAAGCCAGCAACTTCATAAGAACACTTTTCTTCTCTCCTAAACCAAACCTAAACCCACAGACAGTAAATAGCGTGTACTGAAATGATGTTTGGCTCCTACTTAAGGCAGGAGAATTAAAGTCACATAACTTATCAGTTGAGATGCAGAGAAAAATACACATTGCAGGTAGCAGAACATTATTCTTTGAGAAAAAAAAACAAACAAAAACTCACTTGAGCGAAACAAACAGGAAATGCAAATGAGCACCCACATCTAGACAATACAGAAAAGCAAACACAAGAGGCCCATAGATAGCTACAGCTTGATGCAGTGCATGACATCACAGCTGGTGAGAGCCCCAAGCCTGCAGAGATCTCCTCCCTGTTTTCCCTCAAATTAGTCTTACCAGGCAGCAAACAAAGTTGAAAAGTCATCAGCCATCAATGAAAAACTGTTTTGTTATTTTTCCCTCTTCCTTCAGCAAGAGATCAAGGAGCTTACTTACCCTTCTGTTCACTTTCAAATCCTACAACAACGCCTCGTGCCCCATTCACCAGCCCTTGGGACACATCCAGATTCTTCGCTAGCATCACCTACAGAGAAAAAGAAAAATCCTTCAGTGCCCTGGATTTACAGCCTGTTCAGCCACCTGCAGCTAAACTTCTTTCCAGGAAGCATAAGCACATCAGGCTGATATGGCATCATCCTATCCTGCCTATTGCAGGACAGAGCACCATCTCCAACTGAAATTATTTCACAGCCTTTCCTTTCTGGGATTCCCAACTATTTTACAGTATTGAACACTTCACTTGAGCTGCTTCTGTCCACAGCTATGAGCTGCCTGTGCTCTCTGCTGCTGAAAGCTTCTAAACCTGATTGGAAAAGTGTGTAAAAGTCACAGCAATCACCATTGTACCCAAGACATGGACTGCACTCAAATCAAACTCATTCTCTGCCTGGATAAGATTCCAAGCAGAAAAGATATAAAAGATTGGAATAGAATATTCTGTTGGCCTGGCATAGACATTCTATATTGAATCTGCATTCTGTATGTTAATCTGCTCTATATATTTATCTGATTTTCCTTTATTCTTTCTTATACCATTTGATCTGCTGTTCTATCACACACACACTTACCTGAGCTCCAACCTTTAGCTCAACTCTACCACCCACAGGACACTGAGCATCAATTAACTTCACTAGCATTGGGTCACTGTCCAAAGCCTCAAACGTGTGCACTTCTCCTGTTAAGGAAAGAAATACATAAATTGCAGCTGTTGAACATATTACACACAGTATGGCAGGAGGCTCAGCATTTATTTCTAACATCAGTTCCTCTTTCAACATCCATTCTGCTCTGCTGCTAGGACATCTTCACACAAACCTTGTCACATCTAACAGCAGAGAGCTCACTATTGCCTCGCTTCCCAACAGAACTCCCAGAGCATGAAAAGGCACAGGAATCAAAAGCCAGCAGTAAATAAGAACTGAGCAGTCAGCATTTTGAGCATATGACCAGTTTCACTTGCTGCCAACACCAGATCTCTAAAGCAGACTAAGGAAGAACCCAAGGGCCAGAAAGGGGGGACAGAAGTAGAGATAGCCCTTAAGTCATGACTGGATAGAGCACTGCCTAAGATGCTAGAGAAAGAAAATCAGGGATGTGGAGGCAATAAACGACCCCACCTTACCTCACAGCAAACAACAAGCTTGGCTTGTCTGTTACACACCAAGAAGTGACACTGAATATTTAAGCACAAAACTGAAGTTTTTCCCTAGGTACCCAACTCCAACACACACAGCTTCAACTGGTGCTGCTGTGCATGACAGAACACCAGTTCCTCCTGACACCAGGGTATCCCCGTTGCATCCACTCAGAGCTCAGCCCCAGAGTCAGCAGTTTCCTCCAGGGAGTTCACCTGGTAGCTGCTGCAAGCGTCTCTCATTAGTTATTTCGACATCATCTTTGTGGGTGCAGAGCCGTGTAGCCAGGATCCCATCACGCTCAGACCTGTTGGTAGCCGTCTGCATCAGCTGCCTGGTAACCTCCTCTGTGCACCTGGCCACCAGGAAAAGGGAGTTATTCTTCAAAGTGATCAGAAACAGCTCTTGAGCAGCAGTAACCTTCACACAGCTGGATCAGTCTGTGCGAGCTGCAGGCCTCCAGACAGAAGACAGAGAAAGATATATAAAAGTTGGAGAGCAGTGCCAGTGTGTGCCCTAGCTCTGCCCTGGCCACTGCCAGCTCAGGATCCACTGAATTAACTCACAGAAATTAAAGAGGAATCCTAGAGAGTGTCCTTCCTTACCAGAGCAGGATATATGAAATCTGCCTACATTAACTAAAGCATTTATAGCTTTTGCCCCCAGCTGCACGTTCCTGACAGAGCCCAGAAAAGTGACAAACTGCTCTTTCTTCTGCTCCATAGGTGGGGAGCAGAGATTACAAAGAGATGAGTTTCTCCTCACCTGCCTAAACGGATTGCACTTAGGAGGGAGACAAAGGTCTTGTCAGTCTGTCGTCGCACTTCAGTCAGCTCCATGTTTATGTGGATACATTTCCTCCAGCTTTTTGCCTGGAAAAATCATTCTCTGGTGAAGAAAGAGGCAGACTTGAAGTATGAGGATGAGTTTAGGGACAGTTTTGTACCTGGAAGCAGAACTTGGTTTCTTCATTAGCCTTGCAGACTGGAGGTAGCTGCAAGAAGTCCCCACAGATGATTAGCTGAATTCCCCCAAAAGGCTCATCCCGTTTTCTGACTGCCCTGAAAGGGATAGAAGAGATAAGTTTTGAATGTCCTCCAGAACTTGGACATAGTTAGGTCTCAGAAGTTACTTCTTAATCTATCAGTATATTCAAACATACACCAACTGCAGTAAAAGATGTTTATCCTCAACTGAATCAGAAGAGCTCAAATAATTAAGCAATGCTCTTACAAGACACGAAATTTTCTCTGCCTGCCCACCCCTTACCAGTCTTTCTTTGGTGGCTGTTGAATTACAGCTACTTCTCTCTGCAAGAGAGAACTACACCTGGGAACATCTGTATTCTGGACTCAGCTCTACAGACAACACTTAGCTCAGGAGATGGAAAGAGCAACCTGAACAGCCACAGCTGTGAGTGAGGAGGGGACATGATCAAAACCGATCTCATGATAAAGATCTGCCCAGATGCTATGGTTCCATGCTTCCTAATGGTCCTATGACAGCAGCTGCCTTGCATCCATTCACAAAACCAGAGGAAGGAAGCAGTCTGAAAACTTGGGGAAATTCATTTCAGTAGGTTGTTTGACCTGACATTTGCTTACCTTGCCACTGCCTCCAGCCTGTCAAAGAACTTTCCATCCACCATTGAGATCTCATCGATAATCAGGTGCTGGCAGGCCAGCCAGTGCTGGCGCACCCCCGGCCTCTCCGCCAGCTGAATGCACTGTTCCAACGGTGCCTTCCCAGAGCCGATCCCTGGTGGGGGAGAAGAAAGCAAAGTTTTGGGGAGGTCCTGATTCATTGGGAAGGGAGTGAAGGCTCCCAGCTCTTCACTGCTGGGCAGGCATTACCTGCAAAGGCATGGAGAGTTGTGCCACCGATGTGGCAAGCGGCCACTCCTGTGCTGGCTGTGGCATAGGTGATGTTCGGAGGGAGGGACCCCACGATCCTCTTCAGCAGGAACGACTTCCCAGTCCCTTCGAGAGGGGAGAAGCAAGAGGTCAACGGCGAAGCCCGAGGGCTTTCCCCGGCGAGAGCCGCCGGGCGCCCTCACCTGCGCAGCCGGTGAAGAAGATGCTCTTGCCGCTCCGCACGGCTCCCAGCACCGCCTCCTGCTCCGCCGAGAGCCGCGCCGGGGGCCGCCTCTCGGCACGGGGCACCTGCGGGACAGACAGACAGACAGACAGACAGAGGTGCGCTGTGAGGGCAGCGCCCACACCCAGGGGCCGACACCGGAACCGCCCCTCGCCCCGGGACTCACCTCGGCGGGGCGCTCCCCACGCCCGTCCCCGCAGCCGCGGCGGGGGCCGGGGTTGAGCAGCAGGTCCCGCTCTTGCACCGGGCTGATCACGGCGAAGGACGCCGGCGGCCTCTCCAGCAGGCGCGGGGGCCGCGTCGGGCCCCGCGAGCCTGCGGCCACCTTGAGGCGCAGGAGGCGGAGGAAGCGGCGCAGCGCGTCCGGGGGGCAGTCGGAGAGCAGGACCTGCGCGCCGCCCGGACCCACCCGCACCGCCGCCCGCCCCTCGCCCGCGAACCGCGTGAAGAGCCGCACGCCGTCCCCGCTCAGCGCGAAGCTCAGCACCGCGGCCGCCGCGCCGCTGCCGCCCTCCACCCGCAGCACGGGCTGGCGCAGCTCGTTGCGGCCCAGCAGCACGGTGGCGGCCCGCAGGACGCGGCGGCGCGGGGCGCAGCCCCCCGGCAGCGGCTCCTCCACGGCCGCCGTGCAGCGCAACTGGGCGGCCGCCATCGCCGCGCCGGCCGTTTTGAACACGCCGCGTGCGCCGCCGCCAATCGGCGCCCGCGGGGATTTAAAGCGGCAGCCAATGGGAGGCAGGGAGACGAGCGGGCCAATGGGCGGCCCCGCTAGCCCCTCCGCGTCAGGCGTTGCCAGGCAGCGGGACGCGGGGCCGGCACGGCCATGGCCGCCCGCGGCGGGCAGCGGGAGAGGCCTGACGCGGTGCAGCTCGACCGGCTCCTGAGCGAGCGGGTACACAAGGAGATGCAGCACCAAAGGCTCTACACGCAGTACACCGTGAACCCGCTCCAACCCGGTGAGGCGGGGGCGGGCCCGCAGCGCTCAGCTGCACGCAGGAATGGCAGAGGGGGAGAGCTGGAAGGGGCAGCCGGTGGGCCTTTCTTTCGCCTGAGGAGCCGGTCTGCACGCTCAGAGGCAGCAAGGAGACATCCCCCGGATAGCCTTTAGTAACGCTGGAGAAGCGAGGCAGCTATTCAGGATGTGGAACCTGCAAATCCTGAGCAAACACCGGGCTAAGATGGGGTAGAGAGCCCAAACACTACACCGTGTTCCTTCAGCCCCTGGGACCTTCTACCTGCCAGTTCAGAGCCACAGAATATCACAGTCTGTGCTGGCACAGACAGGTGATGGGAGATTAATTCAGGTCTAGCTTTTACAGTGAAACAAAAAACAAAGGAAAATAATTTCCTGAGACTTGACATTCACAGGCCACCGCTTGTGTGGGGTGGGACTTTAGTGTGGTGAACACAGGCAGCATCCAGCAGAAGGGCCTTTAGCATGCTTAAGCCTTCCTAGGAAATTGCCATTAATCAGTATTTCTAACTGATTTTCTGCTATTTGCATACCGTTCTTCCTTTACAGCCTTAGTGAAGTAGCTGGGTCCACACTGGGGAATAACCAAAAAGAACATGTGCAATGGTACATATTCTGTACCTGGCTGTGATGCTAAATTCACATTATTCACCTCCATCATTTCTTTCCAGTTCACACAGTCACCAGGAAGCCAATGTCTTGGCATGACAATATAGATGAGCCAACAGATGGTAAGAAATCTCTGAAAAAAAATTTTGTTGTTTTGTTTTTTTTTCAAAATTACTTAAGAAAATTACTAATAAATAAGATTTAATAATACAAATCAGTCTAAAGTATCATGTCTGTGGAAACACCTCTGTGGTCATATAAAAAAATTAAAACTCATTCACGATTTTTGTTAAATGTAAACCAGCTTTTTTTCCACTTTAAAGCTTTTTCCCATTACTTTCCATTATCAGCAAAAGTTTGCATTCATTACAGCAGCTGCTCCCTTATTTCTAACATGCTAATTTTGTCCAAAAACCTTAATGCTCAGGTAAGAATTAACACGACAATATCACCAGGCAAATCTTGAAACTGCACCAGGAATATTGAAGTAGAAATGTCCCCCTGCATTCTCTGACAGTGTAATTCACAGAAGCACAGAGGTTGCTTCTATCCTTGGCTTTCTTGCTATTGCTAGGACAGCTTTAAGTTGTCCCAATTCTAACACACATCCACAGGTGAGCGATTTTTAAATTTTTAAATACTTTCTTTCATTTATATTTGTGTCTCTTAAACCAACAGATGAGTTCCTGAAACTTTTTCACCGCGCAGCGCTGGAGCCAAGAAAGAAATATCCAGAGCCACAAACTGAAAGCCAAGAAATTGGCTGGAACACAACACCTCTGGTGAGTAGGGCGCTTAAGGACTCAGCTCTTTGCAGGATTCAGAGGTGTTTAGCCCATCACTGAAATACAGTCACACAAGAAAATAACTTGTGACAAAGGAAAACAGGAATGATTAGGAGCGAGCAGAGATGTTCATAACCAGTTTTTAAAACTTAGACCTAAGATGACTCTTCACACTGGCATAGGCTTGTGAACACAGAAACAGCAGCCTTCCCCAAAGAAACCTGAATGCAAAATGCGTACAGTGACAGTCAACCCCCAGCACAGTGTCAAATGCCATGTGTGTACTCACTGTTTACTAAAGCCTTCAGCCATGAGAAATGGTGTGGTGAGCAATGTGAAGTGATATACCTAAGTACTGTGAAAAGAAATCTGCTGCTGCACAGTATCCTTCAAACAAAGTGGAAGCAGAACCGTGAAATTAATAATCATCTGAGTATACCCAGGGCAGATACGCCAGTGAGGATTCATCTGGGGAAGCGTGACTAAATAGGAGGTAAGGAAGTAGGATTAACAAGCTGAGACATCAATCATACCTGACAAACAAACAGCTGTGATGATGACTGACTTTATACATTAGTATTTTGAGAAAGGCAAGTGAGGATCTGATTAATTACAAAGAAAACTGAAATAAATAAGAAAATTAGATAGTTTTCCTCAACTTTTCATATTACACATCAAGGAAACTAGTTACTCCTGACAAGGGTAGAGGCAGATATGCCAGCTGGGCTTTATGGTGTTAAGATAGTGCTGGCAGGATTAGACTGGCAGGGAAGAGGCAACTAAATGTGCATGAAGGGAAGCAAGCTCAATTTACAGAGTCAGGGCTCATAATGCTCTTTAATTTGTTAATCTTGCCTTTTTCACCAGGTCCTACCATAACAAAGCAGTGAACAGTATGGTGGTACCCTGATGTTTTTCACTTGGACATTTGTCAGCAGCAAGAACACCAAGCATCCCTCTTCCCAGGAGGGACTGCTACTACCAATTTTAGTAAAAGCCCATGACTATTTGTCATTTTTCTTTCCCAGATTCCTGTGGACCGTAACGACTGCAGACTCCACTTCCCACGCCGGAAAACCGAGTTCACTACATAAATGGCTGCCCTGGGGCATGGGGAGGAGGAAAGAATCTTCAGTAGTAGAGGGGGAAAGCTATAAACTCAGAAAGACACTGACGACATCTAATGTGTTAGACCTGCTTATTAATACGCGAGTCTGGTAGATTTCTAATAAGAGACAATAAAAAAGGGAAGAGAGAACCTCAGCCTATCCAGATTTGCAGCCTGACAACACTGACAGAAATAAACTTTTAAGACTGCTGTATTTGTCTCACTGCTGTTTCTAAACCCATCTACATAAGTAGTCTAAAAAACCACTCTAACATCTTGACAGGCTTCAGACTTCTCATTTTGACAACATGGCCCAGAACTCAAGGTCTCCAACTTCACATCAGCAGTAGTGGTGAAAAAAGCTGTCAGAATGAAGGGTGCAAAGGGCAGGCTCCAGCTGCCACTCATAAAACAGCTAAACATGAGTTACACGCAGTTCTGTGCAAACCATTTAATGCATTCACACACCAAAGGTTTACGTAGAAAACAATCCTTCGACAAAACAGTAAGAAGAAATTAGTGATAAGGCACTAGTTTCCACTGACTCTTTTCCACACCTCTTGGAAGCATCCAGCTTGCTCCAGGGTTAGCTGCTTGATGACAGCAGAAGCACAGCTTGCAACACACAGACACTCAAGAACCCCAGCGGGAAGCACAGTCCTCTTAGCGCGCTCGGTTCTTCATTTTCTGCCTTGCTCTCTTTCCAGGTCTCTTCTGCAACAGAGTCAGATCTTTATTTTCATGTTCTCAATATTTGTTCTATTTCTACAGCTTGGGGAGGGTATTTGGCAGTACATGTGGAGAGGGAGGTTTTGGCACATGGGTAGCAAGTAGTGTTAACTCCCCTACTCATTTCCCTGCTGATACCAAACCACTGTTCTCAGCTCTGTCAGCAGCCCAATTATGCTCAGCTCCCAAAGACAGGCATTATCACTTCCTGATGCTGGAGGCACCCATCATGTACCCAGCTCTCCCTCCCAGATGAGGGCTGGCTTCTCAGCCAACCCCAAGCATTTGCATACAACATTTTACTTACATTGAGGGCTTTTTTTCCTCCTTTTCTTGCTTTTCCTGGGCCTTTGCTGTGAGCCACTTTTGACTGGAAGCTAGATACATCATTAAAACTTTCCTTTGTGTTCCACTTCGAGCCCTTCTTCTTCCCACCAAAACCAAACTTCTGATTTTTGTATCTTCTTTTGGCATTTGGTCTGAAAAACAACCAAACAGCATCACTGCCTACATTCCTTTTCTCAGGAAGCTCTCAAGGCACAGGTATGTGCTGATGAGACTCCCAACAGCCATCATAAACCTTTTCCCCCACAATAAAGTTGTAGAAATTAGCACACTTCAGTCTCCATGCCTTTCTGGCCAGTTTTCTTTCTCTCTAGGAACAGAAAACCACCTTCGACTCATTTAACAAACACTCATCAGGACAGCTTTCACGTTCCCAAAATTATCCCCTAAAAAGACAGAGAACAATCAGACATTCTGTGTTTAAATATCTTTCATTTGCAGCCTCACCCTTTCTTTGTCCGTTGACTTGCACTGCCTTTTTTATTCCCCTGAGACGATGTCTGGTCGTCATCTAGAAAGTCCAGCTTGTCAGACAGACCTGCAAGAGCGAAGACATCACAGCTCAGAAAAAACAAAGTCTAAGCAAGTAATAGCAACAAGTCACCTCAGAACAGCTACTTGGGAGGCTTTTCACTGGCACTGGCACGTTGTTCTTTTTGCACAGCAGCCTCCCAAGCTCAAGGCCCAGAACTACAGATGTAGTGACCACCCATCACACTGTCTTACACTGCTCACACACCACTGCTGCCATCACACGTTTGCTCCCTTCGTCAAGTTGACTTTACCTTTCTGGTATTTCTTGACTGCATTCAACATATCTTTTTTCTCCTTCTGTCTCCTCTGCAGAATCTCAGTTTGCACCTGTGATCAGAAGAAGAATGTTAGTGTTGTTCTTTTGTAGTATCCCATACTTTTTTTTTTTTAAGCTATTTTTTAAGGTATCCTATCTTGAGCTCTCTTTTCCTTCAGAGCAGCTAGACAGAAGACTAGCCAAATTCTATATACTTCAGCCAGACTCTGGTGGTCTCACTTTCCAAGCTGCTCACTCAGGCTCTACATTCTTGTCACAGATTGTAGCTCCCTTTTGTAGTTCCTCACCTTCTTGCCATATTTTCTCATTGCACGGAGCTGTTTCGCTTTCTCAGACCTTTCCATTGCTTCCTGTTTACTCTTAAGCTTCTGCCGAATCTTATTAGGGAATAGAAAGAACAAAATTTATGAGTAACACAAAAGAAAATAAGAGAATTTTTTGATTGCTTAACAGTCCAAAAGTCAGTATTTGTGAACTAAATATATGGAGTGTAAAAAAGAAAACATCTCTCAATCAGATCACGCTTATAAGGCACAATGTCCTTTCAGATCAAGGCTAAACCAGTTATTACAGAAACTCCTGCACTGATGTGCAGCCAAAACCTGGTTAAAAAGACAGTACTCAAAAAGAGACAAGACAAAGCCTTATAATGGGCTCTAATGGAACCGAGATTTTCTTGTCAGCCCATTCGGGTGCATGAAGAAGACTTGACAGTTTCTGTCTTGTCATTACTAAAAATAAAGCACTGAAGAAGAGTTAATAATCCTGTGCCATAGAAAACATCTTTTCCATTCCCTCCTTGGTCACATTTTTATAAAGATGCCACATTACAAAGGATTACAAGGATTTCAACACAGATCTTCTGGATTCAGTCTGTGACTCCACTAGGAGATAAAAACTCTGCTCTTTAGACAAAGTCAGCAAAAGAAAGGAACAGTAACGTGCAGAATTGACTTAAGCCTCAGCACAAACTACTTATTACTCTTCATCTTCTCTAGAAGGGTTCTATCAAACACCAAAATAAGTCATATATGAATCTCCAAATTAGACTCATGTTTTTTTAACTTACACAATGTAGTCTTTTTTCCAAATCTAAAACAAAAAACAGAGTTCCATTTTGAGCAAAGACTACAGTAAAACCCAAGTTCATCAGAATCTTATTTCCTACACAAATCTGACTTCCTATCCAAGACAGACTCATTCAATAACAGACAGTCTAAAATCACCGAAAACCAGAACACACTGACTATAAACAAAGGGTGATAAATATGAAAAAAAGGATTGCATAAAAGACACAGTCAACTGCAAGTCTTATGACAAAGAGCAAAAACACAGCCAACTTTACAATTACTCATACTTAGAAAAATTCTCTATTTTAATATTAAACACATGCAGGACAAAGTATAAATGGTGCTTTTCTAATTCCTGTTCTAACCTGTTACAGAAATGCCCACACTGCACTGAAACACCTGAACAGAAAGAAATCTCCTGTCACAAACAAAATTTGGAACATCCTAACACAGGGACAAAACCAACACATCACACAAGAAAGAAAGACACTCATTGCACATACCTTCTGCATCTGTTGGTCCGATTTGGCCATCTCTGCAAAGTAATCGTCCGGCCTCCTGGTCGGAACCTGGAGCTTCCGCAGTCTAGGAAGGGCTTCCAGGACGGCTGCCTGAGCCTGCCGGTAGCTGGGAGAGAGCACAGCACCACCTCTGTCACTGCCCCAGCTCTGTCGCTGCGTGTCAGGCACCTCACGGCACCGAGAGAAACTCTGAACACACCAGGTAGGCGATACTGGGATCTGACAAGCACTGCTCTAGAATTATATCGACGTTCTGTGCACATACAGTGCTACTGAAAGCAGTATGCATTTATTGCCAGTTACAGTTTAATATGTTGGAATATAAAAGGCAGAGCAAAACAAAAGAACTATAAGAACACCAAAACAAACCCACAAAGAAAAATCAGTGTCTTGTATTACAGACTCAGTGCTGCTACCAAGGCACTTTTAAAACATGCTTTTCAGCAAAGGATGGAATTCTGCTGGGAGGAGGGAAATGATACATTTGCAGTCACAAGGCAAAGTAAATATCCTAGCACTAATTTGTAGTTATTTTTGGAAAACATTCAGAGCCATCAAATCCTAAATAACATGGCCCAAGAGTGCCAGCGACAGGCACCCTGCAGCACACGGGTGAAACACAACTACAAGCACGCAGCAGCAGCAGCACGCTGAGACCCTACACGAAACCTCTTTTTCGACACTTACAAGCTCATCTCTCTCTGGAAATCATTCTCGGGGTCAACAGCATCTGTGCTAGTAGCGCTCTGGGCGACGGGGTCCGCGACGGGGCCCAGGGTCACGTCCAGCCTTTCCACCCACGCGAGCTGCTTCCCGAACTCGGCCAGGCACTGCTTCAGGCCGTCCTGCGAGAGAGGCACGGCTCGGCACGGCCCCGCACGGCTCGGGCTCGGGCCACGCCGCGGCCGGCTCCCCGGAGGAGCTCCCGGGGCAGCCCCTCACGGCCCGCGGCCCCGCTCACCGTGTCGTTGCGCCGCTTCGGCCGCTCCTCCAGCACCACGTTGAGCCCCGGCTTCAGCTGCCCCCTGGCGAAGGCCTCCTGGAGCTGTGAGACGGGCACGGTCAGGCCGCGGCTGCCGCGGGAGGGAGGCCCCGCCGCCCGCCCCTCCGCGGCCCCGCTCTCACCTCCGAGTCCGAGAGCGAGGAGTCCTCGGAGTCCGACCCGGAGTCCGAGAGGGACCCGCTCCACGCCATCTCCGCCATCGCCATCTCCGCGCCCGCCCCTTCCTCCCGCGTGGCCGCCGCTTCCGCGCCCGGTCGCCAGGGCGACGGCTCGGCGGGGCCATGGCGGCGGCGGCGGCGGCCGCGCTGCCCGTGGCCGTGTTCGGCTGCCGGCCGCGGGTGGCCGGCGGCGTCTGCTTCCTGGAGGAGCGGGTGGTGCTGCACGCGGCCGGGGCGGGCTGCCTGCGGCTGCACCTCGAGCACAAGTGGCACAACTTCATCCCAGGTGGCACCGACCCCCCCCCCTCCCCCAGCCCCGGGTCCCCCTGTTCCCCAGCTCCCCCCGCGGCCCGCCCTGACCGCTGCGCTCCCCGCAGGCACCGAGAAGAGCCGGGGCGTGCAGGCGCTGGCCGTGAGCCCCGACCGGCGGTTCCTGGCGGTGTCGGAGGCGGCGGCGGAGCAGCCGGTGCTGGCGGTGTACGAGCTGTCGGCGGAGCGGGCGCGGCGCCGCGGGGCTCTGGCGGCCGCCGAGCTGCCGGCGCGACAGGCGGTGTCCCTCGCCTTCTCCCCCGACGGACGGTACCTGGCGGCCGCCACGGCCATGCCCGAGGGGCTCCTCACCTGCTGGCTCTGGGAGAAGCAGCAGCTGGAGGCGGCGGTCCGCCTGCTGGCCCCGGGCAGCGGCCCCTGCCAGGTACCGGAGCTGTGACAGCCCCTCTGCGTGCGGCTCGTGTTTAACGCTTCCGTTCGCGGCTGACTGGTTCTTTGGGACAGCACTGCCCTTTTCGGAAAGGTGGATAAAAGGATCAAACTTTAGTTCAACAAGCACCGGGTCCCAGGTAGCACACATGTTCATCCTTCAGGATATGTGCCCGGCACGTTTTCCTGTGGCCACGTGGCTTCTGTCCGGGGCAAGAGGAGGAGAGGGCTCCACATTGTCCACATTGTAGATTTCATTCAGTTTCTGTGACCTTTCTTGACATCTGCTGTCGGCCTCCCTCAGCAATAGGACGCTGGGCTAAATAAAGTCTTGCTTTGACCTATAATGGACATTCTCATGTCTGTATGTGTTGTATCACATGAGATTCTCTTACATCACATCAGGTCTACGCCATGAGGCCAGCACAGCTGGCCAGTGCGTGTGCAATGTGTCCCTTGCATCCCTATACTAAATAAATTGGCTGTGCTCAGTAACAGTAACACACTTTTTGAAAGCTCTTGGCATGCTCCTGCACCTTTTCCTTCCTGCAGTCTTCTGTGTGCAGATCAGAGGAGAAGAGTGGCTAGGAGCAGGCTGACAGCACGCAGATGAATCCTGCATCCTGCTTTGGGTGCTCTTATTTAGAATCTTTCTTGTAGGGAGGTAAGATGCTTTCAGTACATGGGTTGGTTGGACCCTAGCTGCCATTTTTTCTTTGGGAACAGCTACGAGCAGGGGTTGGGTGAACTACTGAATTCATGAGCTCAACACCTAAAGAGGGGAGAGTGACTGTAAAGATTCCCCCTGTCTAAAGTCCTACTAAGGTCCATTAAGCTACATCCTGCTCTACTGCACCACTCATAAAAAATGAGTTCTAACCACCCCTGCTATCCCTCATGTTGGGTATTGAGATGGCTACTCCATAATTTTCACAAATAAACACCTAATTATGTGGATTCATATGCATAGTGTTTGCCTGAAATACAGAAGTTATTCCTGGCCTTTTAGAACAAATGGTCACACTTTTCAGGAAGCTTGCTACTGGGAAAACTTGCTAATCAGCAATAAAGAGGTATTTTGGCCTTACTTTTGTAATTTACTTTTGAAGGGCAGAGACAACCTTCTTGATACACAGTTTTGAAAGGGGGAAAACTGCAATATGTAGTTATGATGGTTAATTCTTAGTCTCTTCTGTATTCCTGTATGTTTCTATGAACTGTCTTCCCTTGTTTGTTTTCCTTTACCTAGTACTGAACGTCTTCAGAACAGGTATAATATTTGCTTGTTTGTGAACATAGTTGTAAATAACACTCTCTCTTTTGTTCCATAGGTGAGCTTTAGTCCTCAAGACAGCACCCAGGTTTGTATCACTGGAAATGGCTTTTTTAAACTTTTTAAGTACAGTGAAGGAAATTTGAAGCAGATGAACTTGCAAAAGGGAGAGCCAGAAAACTACTTGTGCCATGCCTGGCTGTCGGAGGAGGAAGTTGTATGTGGCACTGACACAGGCAAGCTTAGCGTGTTTGAAACTGGAGAGCTGCACTGGGAGACAAATTTGGAGTACAGAAAACCACCCAGGGAACTAGAAGAAGATACAGCAACAAAAGAATATGAGAGGTAAATCTGTTAAATATTGTTACAATTAGTTTCATGCTTGTGCATGCAGGTTAGTTGCAGGCCACTGAGTGATTTCCTTCCTGTCCAGCTTATGATGTTGATTGCTGCTGATTAAAATGTTTTTATTTGTCTTTTTATTCTTAAGTCTTTATGCATTTCCTGCTTGCAGCTCTCTTGATGTTTCTTGTGGACTGGCCTCTGAAGATACTGGTACACAACATAATTCTTTGCCTCAAATATCTGCACTTGCAGCGTATTCCAAAGGCTTTGCATGTTCACCTAGCCCAGGAGTTGTTCTTCTGTTTGAGAAGAGCAAGGGAAACGAAGTCTACGAGGAGAGTCAAGAAATCTGGGTAAGGAGAAAAAAGCTCTTCTAAGGAATTATGCAGCAGAGGCCTGTTTAGAGCACTGTGGGTGCTTCTGATTCAGTTATTAGTAGTAATTTTTAGCACATCTCTAAATCGCATTGTAAGCATTAGCTAACTGTGCTGGTGATGTTGAAAGGGAGTTGCCAAAGGTCACACTGCAAGTCAGTGGCTGATGTCCAGGTAATTCTGCATGTTCCCTTCTCACGTGTAAAATGTGCTTTGAAAGGCTGATAAATTTCAGGGAACCTTTAAGAAACTTTTATTTGCGGAGACTCTTGGAGCTAAGAAGTAGTTTACATCAGTTTTGAAGAACTTGGCTGCTTTGAAGAAGCTTTTCCCCCCTCAGATATTTATTAGAGCTGTCATGAGACTTGTGCAATCTTAAGTAATCCCGTAAGATTTCTGTTCTAACTGTTCTATCGTGTATGCATTGACTTTCTGCAGTCTCTGGCTAAGAACATTTACCTCTAATGACCTGGTCAAGACTTCATACTGTGGCCCAAAAAGGTCAGATCTTCCCTATGCTTGAGACCCTGTAATAAGTGTTATCAACCTGAATGATACACTACAAAGAACTGTTATTCTGAGATCACCATTTTGAGGCAGTTCTCATTCTGGCACTTGCTAGGTTTTTTCTTGACGTTTTTCTGCCATAATTTTCAGTCTCGTTTCATGAAGTACTTTAGATTACTGCTGAAATATCTTCTGATACTTTGTTTCAGCTGTAATGCTATAGATACAGTTAAGTTGACCTCTTGTCCTCTATTCCCTGCCTTGCTATTAAATATCCAAGTTGTCTTGCTGCTATCATGTATGTCCTTATTAAAGTAACATTTCAGCAAATATTTGTGTGTGTGTGTGTGCATGCCTACTACCAAACCATGGAAACCTGGCATATCCCATGGGATGCATTTTTTGTGCAGCTTCCTCAAGACCAGTTCAGAACTGAGCCAAAAATGTCAGAAAGACAGGACATTACATGTATATGCTTCAGCCCCTCTGAGGAAACAATGGTCATTAGCACAAACAAAAATCAGCTCTACATGTTCACTATGGTCTCCACCAAACTTATAAAGGTAAGTGCAATCCTATCACATTCCACAGCCATCATGTCCAGTAAGGGGTATATTGTAATGTCACAGGCTATTCAGTGTTGCTTTCTTTGATGCATTCTCATAAAATCCTTCAAATAGCATCTGAACCCTTAGAGCTCATGATATGAAGCACTCTGCATGCTTCTCTGAGAGACACACAGCCGTGGGAACCTCATGTTACTCTAAAATAATAGTTGTTGATGTCCTAGTTAGAAGTGAAACCTCTTTATGAAGGAAAAAACATAATGAAAAACCTTCCCTACTCTGAAGGAATTAAGTAATACAAAGACGGGAGATAAATGTATTAACATGAATTAGATTTACCTGGAGATGAAACCTGTGTACAGGCATGTGGAAAGACCTTTACAAAAAGTGGGGCTGTAGTGAGGGGTCCTGTTTCCCCAGGCAGCCTAAAATTTTATTGGTGCTCCACTTCCAGCATGTGGTAGCTAAGCATCCTGGTTAAGTTGCTTATCACTCAGTACTTGATTTTTTAAGTATCTACAGGAACAGGAGATATTAACTGAATTCTTGTAGTGTTATAACCCACCCCAAAAGGGGAGAGTAACCCAGGTTCTTGTTAATAGATTCCTTGGGGCAGATTCCAGTGAAATAACACTGATAATTGGTGTTCATATAAGGCTTATTTTAGAACAATTTGGGTTCAAAGGAAAACAGGTATGTAGCCATTTTGGTTGTTGTCATTTATAATAATATAGCAATATAAAAGCAAAAAAATAACACTTAAGAAAACGTATAAGGAAAAGAAAGGATAAAAGTTGAAAGATATATGGTCACCACACACTGGATCCAGGAATGAAACTGTTACGTTCAGACCAGCATAGCGAAAGGATTAAGTGTTTTCCTCAAATCTATTCTGCTACTGTATGCAAAGACCCATGACGGATTTCTTATCTGACTTACTGCCTGCAATGAAATACTTGTGATTTTTTAATGTTCTCATTCCTTCTCAGGAGAGGATATCTTATTTTGCATATTTGAATTTCCCGTTGCATTCCGATTCCATCACTGGTCTGGACATGTGTATTTGGAAACCCATTCTTGCTACCTGTTCCCTGGATAGATCTGTCCGCATCTGGAATTACAAGACGAAGTAAAGAGTTTATTATTACCTCTTGCTTTTTTGTATATTGTATTTAGCAGGCAATCTCATATGAATGAGAGTGTTGTTCTGGTGACATTCTTGTGTGGTGTGGGAGGTAAATGGTCTTGATTTGTGGAGCGTGAATATGCAATGCCTTTAAAATCAGTGCCGAAAGA